TTCCCCAACCTGTAACACAGCCATAATGGCTAAGAACAGACAATTCAGCCTCAGGCTTTTTGACTAATTCAGTCTCTGCAGGTTAGTCTAAGATGCAAAAATTGAACCAATAAGCAAATGAACAGACATTCACTTCTGATTCAGGAAATGCAGCCACATGCCCACACATAGCCAGCATGGGCTGTGTGTTCATATCCTTTTCCTGCTGCCCCCAAGGTCTCTGGGATTTGCAATCCAGACTCACATCAGCCAGACTCTGCAAAGTTGCTCATCACTTCCTCTTCCTACTTCCAGGTGCTTCTGGGATTTGTAGTCTGCAGTCACAGCCAGCACCAAGTAAGCAGGGTAGGGCAGCTCCATGGTGGGGGAAGGGAAGTGTAGCCCCTCCCCCCCCCACACCCCAGCAGGGGTTTGCCTGGAGGGAGAGCGGAGGTGGGAAAATGAGCCTGCCAGTGAGGCAGTTCTCATTGCTCTGGCTAGGGAGCAGAGGGGCAGGGCCAGCCCTGCTCTCTGGAACAAACAGCCCAGCCCAGCCCAGCGCTGCAAAATGCTGGGGAACTCTGATTTATTTTGAACCAGGAAGGGGTCTGGGACATAAGTTTCATAAACCAGTTTGACCTAAATCAGTTGAGTCTGATAGTACATTCAGCCAGGTTTACCTTAAACCAGTTTCAGCCATTTGAAATTGGTTTGTGTCCACTGAACTTCTGTTCTGTTACAGGTTTAAGCCAGTTTCTGATCACTTAAACTGGTTTATGTGCAACTTCTGTCCTAGCCAATGTGGCGGAGGGGTTATGTGACTCGATTCTAACAACAGAGGGTTAGGGTTAAAATGCAAAAGGCTTTACATGCAGTACCTTGTTTAGCCTACTAACCCATGCTAGTTTCACACTGCTTATCCACCTAACTTTGCAGCTACTGCCCCACAGCTGCAAAGGGATTTATTAAGTTACGTCAGAAGTGAGGAGTATGAGCCCTGGGTGTTGAAAAATATAAAGCTATTTCTGAAAGGCTTTAGTAGGAACTAGGGATACCCCACTGTCTGGGGAGAGGTTTTGGGGGGGGGGGGGGGGGGGGAGAGAATATCAATAACAAACATTAGTGAACTGTTTATACTTGATTATATTTGAAGCTGTCTTTCAAAAGGAAAAAGGACAAGAACACTTTTTTTCTAATTTAAACATGAAATCTAGAACTAGACTTGGCATTTCTAGGTCCCTCTTGGAATTATATATGTCCCAATCAAAAACATTTATGAATCCGAAAGAACGGTTCTGTTTGTACCCCTTCAAAACAGAGCTTAATTATGACTCTCATATTTTCACTTAGTTATTTTTAGATTTATCTTTGCAATTTGCTGTTCTTGATTGCAATCAATACTTCCCATTTATATAGCAATTGCCCTCTAAGGATGCAAAAGCAATTCACAGATACTAAGCCTCAGAATACATTTATAATTTTTAAAATAATACCTGTTTTACAGATGGGTACACCAAGGCACAAAGAGGTTTGCTCACTTACCCAAAGCTTTCTCTTTTATGCAAGTACCCTAGCACATCTTTCTGTACATGCATAACAATATTTTGCTACATAATGATTTGTGAATGATTTCTCTACTACTTATGCCTGGAGCAAAAGAAAGCTGTTTTAAGATTACCGTGCTATTTAACTTCAGCAATTTCTATTCTATAGAATTTGACAGTGATGAAACAAGAACTAAACTACACCAGAAAGCAGCTATGGAACTTTTCCTAAATGCAGTTCTTAAAAAGTTATTCTTCACATGCAGAAGTTTAAAATGCAATACAAATACGTGATATTTATGAAGTAGCAGGAAAAATATTGCTTATTTGTCTTTTCCTTTACTAATATAATGGGCTGGAGGGAAGGAGGGAGTCAAGCATTAGAAAGGGGCAAATTCTTAAGGAATTTCAAATGGTATTCAATGGTTTGTCATTCTTTGGCCATTCATTAAACAGATAACTATCTGTAGCCATCTTTTATGAATAGAATTGAAGTTGAGGGTTTTTTTGGAATCATGGAGAGAGACAAGTGCATCTTTTGCCAACTAGTTATTTTTACTATCTATATAACAACATTTGATGGCCTTGCTAGAATACCCCCTCTCTCTCCCCCCTGCCCTCCCCCCCCCCCCCCGCCCCCCCCCCCCCCCCAACAGATTACCATGGCAACTTATATTTGAATTTCTATAAAACTTCTATTTTTAGAGATCACAGTTTGGGACCAAAAAAAAAAAAAAAATCACAAATCATTAATATTATTTACTATCCTATTACTAAAATAATTAAAATCCACTTTGGATCATTGTTGGAGTTGATAGGTCAGAACTTGGTGAAAGTAAATTAGGCAATAATCCTAAAGATGATGATTTTATATATATTTCTGGAAACTTATCACCAAGCATGGTCTCTACAAACTAGGATAAGTGGCATGCCAATAAATCTACATGGCGAGACCAAACAAAACTTTATCCCCAGTGACATCAGCAAGAGTTTTGCCATCTACTTCATTGGGACCAGGATTGCGTCCACTCTGTTTATAAATCTGTGCATCTTTTGATTTCACACAAAGAATAAATACAATTAAATCAGAACAATCACAAAGTGATAATTTTGTTTTGAAAATACTCTGCCTGAATCAGCAACAATACATCAGTTCCAAAGTAAAGTTGCCATCACTTAAAATATTATTAGATGTTCATTAGCACTTACAAATACACATCTATTTTCTGCTTTAAAAGTCACTGCCAATACGCAAAGTGAACCTCCCTATCAGAAATATCACCATAAACAGCACCAGACTTAAGGAAAAGCAAAATGTTGAATTTAGATAGTGAGGTTATAGGTCTGACTATGATCCTATTTCTGACTGTTTACAACAAATCCAGGTACAAAAAGATCCAAACTAGTTTTCAAAATCTACAGAAAAAATAATTCGCATCTGTCACTATTGATTTGTTGGTAGTAACATAAATGTGTGTTCAATTTTAAAAACTCAAAATATCCACTAGTGGCAACCAAACCACTGATAGGAAAATATCAAGTGTTCTAGTCAGGGCAGACACTTTAGAATTCAATGTTTAAAGACAGTACTGAGAAATTCAATGTGATCAAATACACACCTGACATAACCACCACACTACAGGTTAATTACATTCATGTAATTAACATGTTTGTATGTTTCACTGGTTCCTCCCATTTAACTTTTACTTCCTAGTCATCGATTCTTCGGCAAAGAATGCTGGGAAAAAACTCCACAAGATAAAACTACCCATTCAGTGCCGTCAGCACAATCACTAGGCAAATCCAGCTGATGAATATACTGAAAATATTTTGCAATGGAATTTGGAAGCAGATTGATATTAGTCAGATATTTAGAATATGCCCTATTTTTAAACTGCAGCAGAGGTGTTATCAATGCATGTGTGTCTCATTAAACAGTAAAAAATAGATTCTGAAAGTTTTTTGGGTTTTTTTAATTCTTAAAGATCCTCTGATTTTAGTATCATTTGAAGCCAGTTGCACAGCCAGAATAAATGAATTGCTGCAGCCTTGGACACCCTGGGGAATACTAGCAATCAGCAAAGAAAAGTAACTAAGAGGCCTCTGAGCAGCTGAGAGAGTTGTCTCCTACTTCAGTCCTCTCCTTGCTAAGGACCTGATCGTACTCCATTCGAGTCTGGAGGAGTTTAGCAGTTAGTTACAATGGGAGCCGTTTCAGCCCTAAAGACATGATTCAGCAAACCTCTTAAGCACCCCCTTAAATTTTATACAGGAGCAGTCTGACTGAAGTCAATTCCATTACTGAGATGGTAGAGTTCAACACGGGTGTGAGCATTCGCAGGATTTGAACCTCTTAGAGGAAACCCTGTTCAGTACAGAGTGAGAGCAAGTTTCTGTTTACAAACATAAGCACACTTGTTAGTACAATCCCTTCCTGTCCCAAGGGTTACACCAGGGCTGCTGTCCTGCATGAGGCCTATTGGCTTGTAGGCTTCGTTTTTGTTGACTTAATTAGAATCAGAAAGAAGCAAAGCTGGAAGGGACCTCCAGAGATCATCTAGTCCAAGCCCCCTAACTGAGGCAGGATCATCTGTATCCAAATTATCCCATACAAACCATAATCTAAACTTAATCTTTAGACCTGGAGAAGCCTCCCTTTCTTTTTCTCCAAACCTTGCCCCTGATGAGCTTCCAAGAGGGAAGTTTCAGAGACCTAATTAGGCCCAAAGCCACAGGTTGGAGGGGCCAAACCTCAGGGTCACACTGACCAGCAGAAAGCATCTGAGGGCACCTCCAAACCTCCAGCCTGGGCACGGGCTGCACATGTCAGTGAAAGCTGGCTGGAAACCAACTGTGACATTATTACACATGTTCCAGCACACTTTCCCAGCTGGCTGGACCTCTCTTAGGCATCACAGTTAGTCTGCACAGCAACCAATCTAAATGGACTACACAATTAAGCAGGTAACAGCATAACAGATGTAATGGGTAGAGAGAGCTTTAAAAACACCTCCCTAAATCAGAGGTACGGGGAGGATTACCTTAAGAAACCAGTGACTAGAGCCAACTGGAGTGACTCCCACCCCCAGGGGAGAGTCACCTTCAGAAACCAATGGCTAGAGCCAACCGGGGTCACTCCCACGGGAGAGTCACCCTCAGAAACCAGTGACTAAAGCCAACTCGGGTCACCCCCTGCTACACCCCTTACCATAATGATACATCTTCCAGAGCTGAGGGACTCCCAAAACACAAAAGACCAGGAAAAGGCAGAGGAGAGCGCAGCTCAGCCCGCTGTCCTCGAAGCCACCTTGGCGGGGCCCTCCAACAAGAACAGGCTGCAACAGCATCACCCATGAAGCCCTGGATCCCCTCCAACAGCACCGGTGACATTCCTGCCCCCCAGACGCCCGCCCTGAAGGGATGAGGGACCCAGTGGGTGCCCCGCTGCAGGGAGGGGCGCAGGCCAAGGACTCTTACCCTGGCGGCCCGGGAGGAGTAGGGGTCCTCGAAGAGCGCCCACATGCGGGGCTGCAGCCTCTTCCAGCGCCCGCCCTTGGCATCGGGGGCACTGGTGGCGGCGGCAGCAGCAGCAGCAGCAGCAACGCCCACGTCCTCGATGCCCACGCGCTTGGTGGCCAGGTCATCGTCGCGGTCGGCGCCGTCGGGGACCGGCTCGCCTGTGAGCAGGTCAGGGGCCTCAAAGATGTCAAGCGCCTCCTCGGCGTCGCGATGCTGGCGGTAGGTCATCCAGCAGCAAGGCTCCACGTCCGTCTCGTCGATGCCCCAGAAGGCCAGCTCCTCCTCGAAGAGCGGCCCGCACACGTCGGCCGGGCAGTGCAGCTTGCCGGTGCGGTAGTAGTTGAGCACGTAGGCGAAGACGCCCGGGTGCCGGTCGAAGAAGAACTCGGGGCAGCCGCCCACGGGGGGCTGCGGCGACGGCGGCGGCGGGGGAGGCGGCTCGTCGGCGCCGGGTGCGGGGGACTCGCTGCGGGACTCGCAGGCCAGCAGCGCCAGGCGGGTCCCGGGCAGGGTCTTGAGCGGGCTGCGGTACGTCTCGGGGCGG